ATGCTTGCGACTCTTATTTCCTTTAGAACCATTAGCCGGAATCTCTCATGTCGAGCAACAGACATCTCGTGGGGCAGATGAGAAGGGCTGCTCCTTTCTTTAGTGCTTCCACCACGAAATGCACGGGTTGTGCAGATGCAGCATAGCCACGCCCATCACTAGGGCTTATTTTCGGGTAGGGCTTATATTGCGCAAATGCTTAGAAATCCTGCTAGTGCTTGTTTTATGGGTAAGTCTTATTTTGGGGGAAACATGGCATTGCTTTTCTGTGAGAGCCAGAGGCGGAAATCACTGGGAGAGAGATTCTGCTGAATCCCGCAAAGAATTTTCTTTTTTTTTTAGGCGATAATTATGATTGTTACTTCTTTTTTTTTTTGAGAACAGTCTTATTTTGTTGCCCGGCTAGAGTGAGTGCCGTGCATCAGCCTAGCTCACAGCAAACCTCAGACTCCTGGGTCAGGAAATCCTCCTGCCTCAGCCTCCCGAGTAGCTGGGACTACAGGCATGTGCCTCCATGCCTGGCTCATTTTCCTTATAATATATTAGTTGGCCATTAATTTCTTTCTATTTATAGTAGAGACGGGTTCGCTCTTGCTCAGGCTGGTTTTGAACTCCTTGATCTCGAGCAATCTGCCCACCTCGGCCTCCCAGAGTGCTAGGATTACAGGTGTGAGCCACCGCGCCCAGCCGATTCTTACTTCTGATCGCAAAAGAAATACACAGTATATAGAATATTAGTAAACAGGAAAAAAATCACATAAGCACAATTTACCTTCTAATATTTATGTATAGGATGAATGGATAAATAGATACTAACAAATTGGGATCATACAAATAATCATCTGAGAGAATTTAGAGCAGGCGTCCTCAAACTACGGCCTGCGGGCCACATGTAGGTGTTGTTGCCTGTTTGTTTTTTTACTTCAAAATAAGATATGTACAGTGTGCATAGGAATGTGTTCATAGTGTTTTTTAAACTGTAGTCCAACCCTCCAACGGTCTGAAGGACAGTGAACTGGCCCCTTGTTTAAAAAGTTTAAGGACCGGGGATGGGGAAGGCATTTATTGAAACCTTAAAATCTGTACCCACATAATATGCCGAAATAAAAAAAAGAAATAGCTAAGACAGATTTTAAGTGTTCTCACCACATGAAAATGATAATGTTTGGTGATACATATGTTAATTAAGTTCAGCACATTGTTAATTAATCATTCCACAGTGTATACATATATTAAAACATGTTGTACATCATAAACATATAAAACTTGTCTGTTAAAAGTAAATAAAATTTTAAAAGAAAAAACTCTCAAATATGTAAAGAAAAAGGTAAATTAAAGTTATAGGCTGGGCGCTGTGGCTCACGCCTGTAATCCTAGCTCTTGGGAGGCCGAGGCGGGCGATTGCTCAAGGTCAGGAGTTCAAAACCAGCCTGAGCAAGAGCGAGACCCCGTCTCTACTATAAATAGAAAGAAATTAATTGGCCAACTGATATATATATAAAAAATTAGCCGGCATGGTGGCGCATGCCTGTAGTCCCAGCTACCGGGAGGCTGAGGCAGAAGGATCTCTCGAGCCCAGGAGTTGGAGGTTGCTGTGAGCCAAGCTGACGCCACGGCACTCACTCTAGCCTGGGCAACAAAGCGAGACTCTGTCTCAAAAAAAAAAATAAAAAAAAAAAAG